ACAAAAGTGTAAACTGTTAAAAATAATTAAAACAAATGATATAAGATAGGTGGATTTCATTTAATAACTATATGTCTAATAAAAATATATTTATCAAAATTAAGCCACCGTTTATATAGATATATAAACATGTATGATTTATTTAAAAACAATAAAAATCTAAAATAAGGTAACATTAACGGAAAAAATAAAATTTAATAAAACAAAACTTAATTTTTAATTTATAACATCCTCTTATTTTCAGGATTAAGCCTAAATAAATTTTGAAGAGAGCCGAATTTATTTAGGTACTTTTTCTAATATAATAGGTAAAAACTCTATTTTAATTATCTAATTAAATAGTTATATTTTCGATTCTTATAACTAAATAATTAGGCATATTATCTATTGTAGGGAATATTTTTCAGCTACTTATTTAGGTGAAATTCCAATTTCTTTAGTTGAATTCCAAAAAGATTTTAAAATAATTCAACTAAAAGATTAGGTGAACCAACTATTTGCTTAGTTGAAATCCAGACAAATGTTTAGGTGTTTTAGCTAGTATTGTAGATAAATTAGCTAATTTATTTGGTTAATTTTCCTAATTATTAAAAAGTAAATTCAGCTAATTTAAATTAGGCAATGTAGCTAAATAGTTTAGGAGGCTGAAAATCAAGCATTTCATTAGGTGATTTATACTATTGTTTTAGGTAAATTCTCTACTCTTTTTTTTCTGTGTATTATGTAAAAGTCATTAATATACAACAAATACCTACATCAAATAATTGCATACATTTGGGAGAATCAAAAGAAAATAATTTAAAAAAGCACTTACGTAATGGTCGAATCCAACAGTTATAAGTGTTTGAAGACAAATAAATATATTTTAGGATGGCATGGCATTTTCCGTTAGCTTTTTGCTTTTATAGAAATTTTAAAAAGCATGCAGTTTCGGAAATATTCAATTTTTACGTATTTTGATACCAAAAACTGGGGAGGAAGTAGACTATTTATTAGTGACAAAAAGCTTCAAAAATTTCAGGCTCCTACAATTTACCATTTGGAAGAAAAACGAAGTCAAAAATTAAAAAAAAACTGGTCTCAAATAACGGTGTTTTGTAATATTTGAATTTTGAGAATGGAGTCACTACTTTCTGGGTGTACAGAATTTAAATAATATATGTTTGTGGTCTCGATATAATAAAGAATCTAAATGTAGAAGTTTTGTAAATCGAAACACGGACGGAGGAATTGAAAATAAAAGGCACAATTTTGCAATTTTTGTTTTTAGAAAAATGCTAAAAAGCGCAGTAACTTTTTTCTTTTGTACTTTTAGACTTGTATTTCTTATATAAAAAGTGTGGTCAAGCTTACAACAATAAGGTTAACAAATTTTAGTGTACCTCTACTTATAAAATAGGTTATGGAGGGCTGTAATCATAAATCATTTAAATGGACCAATTTTAATCAATAGAAATCTACTTGACCAAAAATATGGCAAAAGAAAAACTATAAAAATATTAAAAAGGAAAAAAAAATAACTTTAAAAATTACTTGAAAATTTACTTATGAATTTTGAGAATTTTTATACCTATATACGAATATGTACGTAATAAGTTTCCGAACATACTAACACAGAGGCAAAGAGGAAGAAAAACCTTTTTTTTCTATTTAATGGACTGAAAATTACAAATTCTGTAGTATTTTATCCTGAAGAACTACAATCACTTACGGGTACCTTTGTTAAACGATTTTTCATAAAGTGTAAATAAGGTAAATAAGGTGCAGATATTTAATAAAAATGTATGTATACCTACAAATACACACATAATATTTGTATGTAGTATGTATTTATTTACATATTATTACCTATAAACAGTGTAGTTTTATAAACTACGGTAATCATTTAAAGATGAATCACCTGATTTTTTTTTATTATTATTTATTGTATACTTATAAAGGTAAAATGGTTTAATATTATTGGACCGTAAAATAAACTGCCGAAAGAAATAAAATTTTCTCACCTACATTAAAATTCCTCTTTTTTGTTTTTGCTATTCTTACCTTTTACTTTTAGATTTTGATTTATTTTGTGTATGCATATACACAATGTACGTATATATGAATAAGTTTACGTATATTAGAAAAAGTCATGAAGGTGCTTATATAAAGTTATAGAATAGTTGGAAATTTAAAAAATTATTTTATGTAAATTGCTTTGTAATGACTTTATTTTTCTAAAATATTAATATAAAAGTTTTAAAATATTTAGCTCTGTTCAAAATTCATGGAAAATTTTAGTCAATTATTCATTAAATTAATTTCCACTTATTTAATATTGTATTTCCACTTATAACAACAATAGATAAAATATTGATTGAATTTTTTTTAGAAAATAATTTCAATTAAATATAGACCTTCTACAATATAGGTTAAGGCTATGCAGAAGCAAGACTAGTCGAATATCATTCAAAATATTTTGCGTTGAATTAAATTAATAAACTACTTGTAACCTTTCAAGAATGGGAGGGAACACTCTCAATTCCTGTTGCTACATGCACTCCTAACTACTTATAAATATTTTCAAGTCTTAAATAAAAAAAAGTTACAGACTTCCAAGAAGCTTATAGTTTCTGTATCTGTCACATTTTCTGCTTATATGTTTTCTATACTATGCTTTTCGAACTATTTAGAATTCAAATTTCAATACATCTGATACCGATACCGATATTTTCAACAAAAATTTTTGTTTTTAGTCACTTCCCAATAAATCATATTGACTTTTACTTTATTTCACTTACTATCACTTTAACATTTTAACTGTTATACAATATTCATCATTATATTTTAAATAAAATTCATTGTCACCTTTTTTGTGATAAAGTATATAAAATTAATATACTCATTATTCTATATAGGAAAAAAATATAGAATACATCCTAAAAAAGGATGAGTTTCAATTATTTGATTTGATCAGAAAGTATATAGAGTCAAATATTATTATAAAAACGTGATTTTGCAAAAATTTATTCATGACAGCTATGTATTGAACGATAAATTTAATTTTTTGAGGTTTAATAAAATACTAGATTTTATTCTTTATTAAAATAGAATGAATATAATCAATAAATCTATAAAAAAACATTATAGTATACAAACTTGGAGTGAGAACTGGGATTTTTAATACATTGATATTTGAACTGGAAATTTCTCAAATTTATTTTGTTAAATAGGTTTGAATATTTACAAGATTTCAATGCGTGCGATTTATTAAAAACTAATAAAATCAATTTTCAACCAAATTAATTATACACGCGCCTCTACCATAAAAAATTATGGAAAAATACATTTATTAATTTGATAGAATTCAATTTCTTAAAAAATTCTTTAATAAAACTAAATAAAATTACTTGTTGAAACTGAACCTATTTCAATCAAATATTTTTGATTTAATGTATACCAAAAATTCAAGCCTAATAAAATTTATTTCTTTCTACAAAATATTAAATGACCTTCAAAACTATATCAAACATAAAAATTTTCTATTATTATCTAACATAACATTATTTTCTAAAAAAAAATAAAACTTTTAGTAAGTTTATTTCGAAAGAATTGTCAGAAAAAATATAGAATAATTTCTACGTGCCCTTTTTTCTATAAAATAGAATTTAGCTATTAATTTTGATAAAGTCGTATGCCGTATACGTATATATGCATGTGTGTATTCAAAATCTAAATTATCCTTCTTGGCTGGCGCCACGTTATCTGTATATGTGTACATATGTTTTTATCATACCAGAGCATATTAATATTTGAAAAGTTTTTAAATAAATGATGAATTCTCATCGCTGGATCATTGATGCATGATTTATTTGCATATAAATTGGAAAATATTGTATGCAAAAATTGTATAATGCATTTTTCCAATGAATATTGAATAAAAATTTGCTTTTTAGAAGTCATTTTATGGCGATCAATTTTAAATTTAACTTTATCAGATATTTTATGCGTTTATCTCTTTCATTATTTTTTAACTTCTTAAATATTAAATAAAAAAAAAAATATTATTTTTAGTACGCCAAAATTTTCTAAAACATTTTCTAAAAAATTGATTGATTTTTATCGCTTTTAATATTATAACTTTAATATAATAAAAATTTTTATTTTTCTGAGAATAAAATAAATTTTAAAAGTTTTGGACAGCTTATTTTTGGGTTTTTTTGATATTTTGTTGCACTATAAGTCGAAACATAAGGATTTTTTTTTTAGTTTAGTGCGATGTGAATTCAAATAATAAAAAAAATGTCAAATCATTCAATTGATAAGTTTTCCGAGTAAAAATAAAAGAAAAATGAATTCAAATTCTTTAATAATAAAATTGGTCAGAAATACTTGATTTGATTATGGAATAAAAGTTATAAGTGGTCGTGGAAAAACAAATAATATAAGATTTTATATTTCACAGTGAAGATATAATGCTATTAACACGAGCTGTAGAATAAAAATCACAAAATCAAAAATATTTTAACAGACTTTTAATATCTATTTAAAATACAAAAAAAAAACTTGAATTCAGAGAGTTTTTATGGTTATTATGAGATATGGAACTATACTACTTGTTTAAGCGAAGATCCAGTTAAGATTTTTGAGGCCGTTTCATTTCCATCTACGATTGCTGGAGTTTTAGGAAAAAACAACATCGCAAGTGGCCGTTTCTGGTCATGAAAGACCATAATATGAAAAGGTTTCAAATGTTAATCAAACCTCTTCCCACTTAATAATTAAAAATTCTATTAAGCGAATATTATCATTTTCACTTAATTTCTTTTAGCCCGTTGAGTAAAAATGGAATATACAGGACGATATCTAAATTTTTGTTATATAACTTACTGATGATTGGAAGCAATTCATTGTGATCTATGATTTTTATCATTGATTAAAGATTTTAGTGCGAAAATAAACAAATAAAAATTTCCTTTTATAAAGATTTTAAATTAAATAATCCATTTTTCTCTACATACCTGTAATTTGAATTTAATTGTATATCACCGATAGCTACATTTTCGAATTTTACTGGATTCGTTGTCCATCTCGCCCAATAATATGAGAATTCTGAAGATCTTTGTTGTTCATTAAAACGACATTTTAATATAAGATCTTCACCCTCTCTAGTATCAAGGGCTTCTTCTGCTAATACTAATGCTAATATGGCTAAACCTGAAAAAATACAAAAAAAATAAAAAGTTTCACATTAATTTTTTGTTTTCTCTGTGTCCTGAATTTTTTAATTATTTGTTGAAGATTATTTTTATTAAAACAAAAGTGTTTTCTATTTTTAACAAAGACTTTGTTAGAAAAACTATAAAAATGTTTTCAAAATATTTAAATTTAAAATGTCAAGAATATTAAAATGAAAGAAAAAAAAAAGCATGAAAGAAAAAGCAATTTATTCCCTTTTATTTGCAATTCTTACTTTTAATTTTAATATTTTTTTTTCTTCATTTCTTTTCATCTTGAATTAATTTACAATAAATCTTGTCATTTAAATAGACTACTAACTAATCTTAATAAATATTGTTTAAAATAAATGCAATTTAAAAGGAAGAATTAAAAGAAAAGAAGGTTCATTTTTGACTTTGTTATCACAGCATAGTAAATTTTCCAAGGGATTAGAAAACTTTTTCTATTTTAGAATCTTGAAATAGATTTTTTCCTATTTTTTGGATTGCATAATACAATTTCTTGTTTTTTTTTTTGTTTTAAGTTAAGAGCAAGATAAAATTCTCATTTTCATTTTATTTAAATTATGTACAAACACAAAAAAAAAAACAAAAAGAAAGTAAAACTAAACAATAGAGTCATTTAACGCAGGAAAATAACGAAAGAATCTAAGGATCTACTTACTATAATAAAAAGAATTTTTTCTTTTCTTTTTTTATCTTAAATTTTTCCTTTTATCCTTTTTACAAATGAAAATAATTTTTTGGTGCAAAAACTATAAAATTTTCCAAGGTAAAATCAATTCAAAATAGAAAATTTTTCTGTTAGTTTAATTGCACATAAAAACAAAATTTCAAGAAAAGTTTTTTAAAATTCATCCTTACAATAAGGTACTCAGTAAACGTGTACGCTCTAATGTTTAATTAATTTTATTCCGGTCGAATTTTGCAATAGTACAAGCTTTAATGTTAAAATTTATATAAATTTTGTTATTAGTTTAAATAACAGCAACAACTTTAAAACTTTTTAAGAATTTTTTAATATTTCAAAGAAAATTCAATAGACGAAGGCGAAATATCAACTTTTATTTAAAGTAACATTTGCAAGAAAGATCAAAAACAAATTGGCAAGCGAAAACGTTGCTATTTAATGAGGAAATGGTGAAGAATTAATAGCGATTAATGAGGCGTAAAATTTTTATGCCATTTTCTTTGGAAAAGAAGCTAAACATGAATAAATTACAGAAAATACAGATTTAAGAGCCCTTACATCAAGATCAGCTGGAAATTAGAATTGAATAGAAGAATATTCAAAACCGATTATTTAACAACGCAACAAAGTACACGACTCAAAAACTTTGACGCATTAGTTTGTAGTAAAACATTAAATTTTCATTAAGGATCTAAGATAAGTTGATGCATAGAAAATGAAACATTTCACTTTGAAACTATACTTTTAATATCATTTTTATGACAAAAACGTCAAATCAACTCATGAAAATTGTATGAATTCTATGTTGTTTTGTCACTATAAAAAATTTTACACAAAACAAACGAAACTTTGAATAAAAAAAAAACAACAAAATGTCTTGATTATTTTTTACATAATAAAAATAATTGTACAAATAGAGAACAAAATTATAATAGTAATGAAATGATAAAAGAAAAAAATGTTTATAAAAGAGAGTAAGAATAAAGGTATAGGGAACTATGGGATTAGTTAAGGAAATGCACGTTGCAATGTTGCAGAAGAACGGTATTCCAGTTGTGAAGTTTCAATTTAACGGCCATAATTATTATGTACTCATAAGCTGCGATGTTTAATTCCCTTCAGTATTCAAGAATATCATTTTCGTACATATTTTTACATTATGTGAGTTTAAGTAAGATTCTAAGATGGGCACAAATTCACTTTCTAATTTAATAAATAATTTTGTGTCATTTTAGTAAGACAACCACGGGAATAATTTATTGTTCTTAAACGCATTATTGAACAATTGTTCTTTATTTTACAATTTAGGAATAAATTGCTATTTATTTTATAAGGATTTTAATTAAAATTAAAATTTTGCCATTAGAATTTGAAAAATTTTGAAAAAGTTTGCCCACTTGTATAAATTCTACACATTGTTTCGTATGTGTTCTAAAGCCAATAAAATAAAGCTTACGATTTTTAATTTTTTAAACTTCACAAAATGAGTTCCGATGCAAGCGCATATTCTTCCTGCATTTTGTCTACTTAAGCAAAATACGAGTATAAAACGCCATCTTTATTATTGTCAACATTAAACTGTATAAAAAACTGAACAAAAAAAATTATTATTGTTTTATGTAAAATTACTAAAATAAGTAAAAAAAGTGAAATAAAAGTGCCGCAGGTGGAATGAAAGAAGAAAATCCTTATTCCTACACACCTTTTTCCCAATTGCATTTAATTTTTTCATAGATTTTTTTTTCTTTTTAGTTTCAGATTTTCAAATTGTAAAAACAAGTTTTCTTTTCTTATGTAATTTATTATAGTTTTCTTTTGTAAATTCTTCTTAAGATTTTAAAGTGATTTCAGTGCTGGTGGTATAAAATTTTGAAAAGAAAACAATTGGTTAGACTTCATTTTCGTTTCTTTTTAACTTGTAAAGATGTAAAAATATTTTTAAGACTGTTATAAACGGCAAGCTCTAGGTATTACGAATTCAACAATTCTTTTAAAAATGATAAAGAAAACTGTTTTAAATTTTTTCAAACACTTAAGGAATTTAACCGAATAGGATTTCAAATATGAGCCTGAATAAAGTATGAATGGAGGAAATTATGTAAGTAAATTATGCATTAGATGCAAAAGATTGTTTTTGGAAAAATTAGAGAAGTGCTATGTTACTCGTAAATATGGCATTTAATTTATTATAATATTCAAATTTAGATGCCCTTACTAATTAAGGAAATTTCATTATAAACTTGAATAAAGAAACGTAAATTGAAGGCTTTTTCTCCTATAATTTATAATTTTCATTTTAAGATAATTTTACAAGGCAATTGCAAAAAAAAATATGCTTATGAATTTCTTTCTTGCCGCTCATCCATTTTCGCGTTGCTTAGCAAAACTATTACACCATTTCAGATATAAAATTGTTTAATAAATTTTTATATACAATTAAATCATTAAAAAATTCGATTTCAGAGAGATGGATATCTTTTCACTTACAGGAAAGCCTTTTTACTTAACAGGAAACCCAACCTACTTCGAAAAATTTTATTCTCTCATAATGGAACCCTAACTTAGGCCAATGATTCTGAATTCAAAAGGCCGTTCTGAACTCACGGTTCCCTTAAATATTGATTGGTGTTCAATGCGATACAAAAGAAATTATTTCAAAATATTATAGTATTTGAATTTTTGGCATTTGCGTAACGACAAAACTATAAAATGTGCTTTTTTACCAATCAAATCGTCAAATTAAAATTCATTTTATGTTTAATGAGAAAAATATAAATTTAACGCCAAGAAAAAAGTATTTTCTCGAATGTTCGTTCATGCACTATTAAAACGGAAATTTCACCACTTTTCCACATTTAATAAAATGAAAATAATGACATTGAACATTTCAAATGTCTCAAGCGATAAAAGAAAATTTAAAGCAGTTAAATTTTTTTTTCAATTTGTTTTCTTTTTTAAAGGAGGTGCTACAATATTTCGTTTTCTTTGCTCTTTTTAGTTTTTCTTAAGGCACACTTATCTGTATATGGACTTGATGAAAATTTTCAACTTGAAATAATAAGAATCCTTTTTTCTCTTAGCCTTTTTTTTTTAATAAAATAAAGGATTATTTTGAAGGCCATAAAATTCAAAGTGAAATAAAATTTAACGTTACTTAAGTCTGTTCTCTGAATTTTTATAATTTTAAACAGGTATACATTAGAATGGATTTTTCAAAAGAAAAAACAAAATCTAACAAGTGATAAAGTGGTAAAGAAAAAATGTGCAATCTCAGAAAATGCTCGTTTTAAATAAAAAAAAAAGGAAAATATTTTGCTAATTTTGCAAAAAATATTTTTGAATTGTTAAATGGATCCTTTTTTTTCTAAATAATATTTAATATGGCCATTTTGCAAAAAGATTTTTAAAGTGTTCATGCTAGTAGCACAAAACTGAGTAATTGCTTTTCATTTGAGTTTTTTGGTTCTATATTAAATATATTCGTATATTGATAATTTCCATATAAATAATTATAAAGTGCAAATTTATTTCTCCTACATGCAGAAGAATTCGAATTGAAATAAATTTTAATTAAAATCTAAACGGAATCAACAGAAGTTTTATGTAAAGGTCAAACCGCCGTTTGAAATTTATACTCTTAAAACTTTTTTGTGAATTTTCTACTTACTTTTGAAAAGAAATGTTTCAATAATTTTATTTTTCATTTGAGACATTGATACAAGTTCTTCATTATTTTATTCACATAGTTTCGTATAGCATATCAACAATATTTAAAACCAATAATACCATTCATGCATACATATTTATAAACACATTTAAATCGAATGTATTCTACAACAATTGTAATTAGAAATCAAAATTGACTTATTCAAAAATTCAATTTCCTATTATGTATATATTGTGTATCTGGTATTTAATCAACTAATATGTGTATAATATACATACATTATACACTTATATGAAAAGTCTAATATAAAGAATAAAATGAAAGAATATCTTAAAGAAATCAATGAAACCTTCTAACATTATAATACCCTTTATATCGGATTAAAATAGGAAATTCTTATGTACAAAACTCATTGAAATATAAGTAATACCTAATACACTATATATATGTATATATATATATATATATATACTTAAACAATAATTGCACACATATTTTAATTCCTAAACTCTGCGACATTTAAGTATGTACTTTACTTGCTCTTACATTGAACGAAAATACTCTTACGTCTTTTGTATAGTTCAATTTACTTTAAAAAGGATTATAAGTATGCAATGTGTATGTGTGTGTACGAACATTCCTACATATTGTATATGGAATATATTGAATTGTTACACTTGTTTAGGATTTTTTGTTGCATTTGAAGTCTTATTTAGGAATGCATGTTCGATGTACAATATACTATACATATTAATATTCAAATAAGGACCTTAAATGTCAAATTAAGAAGTACAACTGAATCAAAGTGAAAAAATAACGAATAAAATTTATTGTTAACGAATAACAGCACATACATATGTACATATATGTCTGGATAATATATTGATGCTTATTTTAAGTTGATTCTGATAATTCTCATGACGTAAGAAGTTTATGAATTAATTCCATAAACAAAAAACAAAATGAAATCAGAAAATATATTTTTTTTTTCCTTTTGAATAAAAGTAATTCAATAAAGACTTTTTAGATTTTATATGACTGCTCATTGCTCAGGTCACAACGAACATAAGTGTATATTTGTGTACATGTTGATGTATTAAGTACAATAATATGTAATCCTAACGGTATACACATAAATACTGTTCATTTATCCTTTTTGTTTCCTACTATTTTTCAGTTTTCTTTTTTTCTTTTCTTCTCTTATTTTTTAAGGACTTTGTTTTTGTTTTAATATCAGCTAATGTCAAACACATTCCTACTTTTAATATCTAAATATACATTTATGAATGTATATATATAAGATACACTTGTAACTTTATGCACAAAGCTTAAATTTCAAAAAAACAAAAAAAAAATTCTCAAAAGCGTTAAGATTTAAGAAGACATAACAACTAAAAGAAAAAAAAGAACAATCAAATGTTCTATTTTCAATTTTTACATGCAAATGAGGGTGCAAGAAACAAAACAAAATTTTAAAAGGAAGAAAAAATAAGAAAAAGAAAAATCACTTCACAAAATGATGAACATTTTCGAAGACATCCTTTATCCATTTACCATTCATTTATTGTTGTTTTCATTGAATATATGTACATATGTTTGTATTTGCTCATGTATATTCATATTGTATATAAATTGTAAATGCATACGAGTATATACTCTAACAAATATTATTGTTTGCATTTAGATTTCCATCTCAATTTGAATAATTGCTGTGATGTGCAAACTAAACGCTATATACACCATGTATAAAATATAATATGTATGGTTGTTCAGCTGAGAATACCATCAAATATAGGAAAATTGAAAACAAAGTGAGAAAAAATTTTTGAATAACATCAATTTTTTTTTTGTATTCTGTTATACATACATATATGAATTACAATTTCAATGATTTAAAAGAACATTTTATGAGTGTACCTGAATCGTGTATTTTTTAGCATGACTGTAAATAAATACACGCTCTTCGTATAAATAAAGATATCTATCAAATATTGTTATTTCGAGTTTTGAGAGTAATTTTGTGAAAAAAATGAAAAATTCATATGCATTTCATAAAATTAAAAAAAAATCTATAACTATTACACTGCAAATTTATTAAAATGAAAACCAAAATATTGTATTCATTTTGGAAATGAAATTTTAATCAGAATTTTTAACACATTTGCAACAAATTTGAAAAAAATGTACTTTCTCGATTTAAAACCAATTGTTTTTAAATTTACATTTAAATTAATTTTAATAATAACAATTTCTTTTGCAAAATAAGCCATTGAATATTTTACTGTCATAAAGCATAACAGTCAATTTAACAGTCATAATATAAAAATGTTATTCATCGTGCAATGCTCTAAATAAAGAAATGCTCTAAATTTCTTGAACAGTTTTGATAGAAATGAAGTAGATTTACATTTTAAATTGTACATTATATAGAAATGCTACACTCAGTCAAAATTTGATATAAAATTAACACATTTTTTCTATATTCACATCATAATCTATAAATAATTCCTCTTAGATTAATTAAGCTAAAAATTTATTATATTTTGAAATAACTTGTACTAAAGCCAATATTAAACTATCATCTAAGAAGGCATGTACTATGGGACTTTGTTAAATTGAAGAGCTTTCGCTTGCAGATTCAAATATTGCAGATTCGTGAATTTGTCAGTATATTTAAAATTAAATTAGACATTAGATTATTAAACTACCTTTTACTAACTTGTAAACCAAAGTTCGACTTTTTCATTAAGATTTTTTAAACAATGATTGTTATTTGTATGATCAAAAGTTTTTTATTCATATCAATATTTATTATATAATTTCACATTTAAGAAATAAAATTAATTAATACATTCTTTATATAAAAACTATTCTATTTATTCAATTTAGGTTTCTGGATGCCATGATTTGTAATTTTGACAATATTCTTTTAAAATAAATAAATTTCTGTAATCCCAACAACAAGTTTGTTATATGATTTTACTAAATATATATACCGAATATAAATTTATTTAAGTATATAAATCTTATATTTAAAAATTGAGACTTTTATTTTGCAAATAAAGATAAATTTTAGAAGAATTACATTAAATAAATTCATAAATAATATTATTAAGTCTTTGTTTGTTAAAAAATAATTAAAAAAAATAATGTTTTACAAATTTATATTTATATATTTTTTCTGGCTTAAAAGATTTGCAAATAATTTAAAATCAATTTTGGTTTTTTAAGTACATTTTACAAAACAAAGACTTTTTTTGTTATTTATACAAATATATTTTTCTATATGCTGATGTTAATTAAAAAAAAAATTTTCTTTTTAATTGAAATTTTGAATTCATAGTTCTTATTCTTTATAAAAATATTTATAATTTTTGCTTGAATTTTAAATATTTTTTTTTTTTTGCTTTTTATTTAAAAATATTTTATAATTATATTAAATAAAATATAAAATTCATGTAAACTAAAATTGTATTAAGTTTTTTTTTTGCAAATTTATTGATTTATTGATCAGGCAAAGCCTAGAAATATGCAGAATGACAATGGAAATTTAAGAAAATGTGCTCGATTTGTTCCTATTCGAAGTACAGCTTAGCACTAGAGTTGACAATGATAAATTTGTCTTTTATCAAAGTTTCAAATTTTGTTTACAGAACTTTTAGAGAAGAATGCAAAAATGAAAAACAACTCAATTACAAGTATAAAAATGTAATTATGGAGATGAAATGGATATTAAAAATTTCCAAAACAATTCGAAAAATTATTTTCAACATTTCCAAAATTTTAATTTTGAACAACTTCGAGTCTTTACCGGAACACCCAATTTAAAAAAAACAAGGAAAAAACAGTAAATTTTCAATACTTAAACATTGATTCAGTAATGCTTTCCGATGAAAGCTGGATACAAGACTGCTTACTATCACAACCAGTATATATAGAAATATTGGACAAAATTGATGTGCTAAAATAAATGGATATAAGCAAAAATTTAACAAAAGAATTTAAAAAATTGAATAAATTTAAATTTTCCATCCTTCCTACAATTTTATTTTTTTTTGCTTCCTTATTTTATTTATTCTGTCTTCAAAAAATGGAGAAAGTTTAGATTTTTATATATATTGACATAAGTGCATTTTAGTGTTTCCATATTTGAATCTTTTATACATATTCTTGTGAGAAAACTCTGTGTCATTCCATAAATTCTGCATATGTACAATAAATGTGTGTGCAAAAAAATGCTAATTTATGAAAGCTACTAGTTTCAACCACATTTATATTTATTTATTTATTTCACATTAAAGAGATAATACGAGTATATTGTGTATAAACTAAACTCGTATAATTTTCCAATTCAAATTTTTTTCATTTTGTTTTTATATTCTTTCTATGTTATATGGAAATTCCACTAGTTTAGTTCTTCCATTTTAAAATATACTTAAATTTTGTGCAATAAAAACTTAACTTTAATCAAGAAAGAATATTGCAAATTTTCCAAAAACAGTTCACACGTAAAATAATTGAGACAATTTTCTTATAAAATTAAATTTTGTTAAAATACTGCAATAAAATCATCACTATCTAGACACATAATGAAAGTGCAGTAAATATTAATACTGCAAATTTTGGTATTTTGTTAAAACATAAACGAGAAAGCAATTTCTTTAAAAGTTAAGACTTTAAAAATGAATAAATCAATAATTAGGACAGATACTCACTACTCAGATTCATTTGAAATTTATTTAGATTCATTTTTCATTTGAGTAATTTAAGGCTTAACATCTCAAATCACTTTGCGCCAATTATCTTTCAAAAACATTTAGGTTTTTATACAATTTTGAGCTCCACGTCAAAATTGTTATATGAAGCTCAAATTTCCTGTCTAGAAAATTTAATTCCTTTTTAAATTAAAATTTTTTTCATGCATTTTTGATTTTTGTTTAAATTTTCTAATACAAAAGTAAAGTTAGACATTATGTTGACATATACTGCTGCAATAAGACAACAAGACCTTCTTTTGAATTTATCAGATTTTTAATAATTTAATATTTCAAAAATTATTTTTTTATGAATAGGTGTGTACCCTAAGTCTGTTTGCATATTGAATAACTACAAAAGCAAATAATTGAATGAAAGATTTTAATTTTTCTGCAACAAGAAAAATTGGTGAGGATAGCAAAATTAAGTTGCGCTTTTACAGTATTACCAAGTAAGTTTTTGAGTTTAAGATATATCTACTTAATGTGAGATTACCAAATATTTTTTTGAGTTTAGTATTATGTGAGAGTTTCAAATTAAATTCATCATTATGGCTTTTCATTCTAGTAACAACTTAAAAATAGAGAAAGTAATTCTATTTTTTTTAATACTTAAGCACATGAACAAGCTATCAAATTAGTTAACAAATCTTGATTCCAAACACAATGGCAATTTAATGCTAACCCCTTTTTAAATTTTCAATTTTGACAAGACTTTTTGAGCCCCAACAATGTTCTTGTCACAAACGACATCTTTAAACATTATCATTCGGCATCTTTAAACCTTATCATAGGTTAAAAGCTATTCCGACTTTTAAACCATTTTTAGATTTGATGCTTTTTCCTATTTCGAAATACTAAGGTCTCTATGGTTATGTAATTTGTTAAAAATTATATACCATGTATTACTGTATCTGAATAAAATATAAACGTAAATATGTATTTACGAATATAACTATACAAATTTTATACTCACAGCGTATTCCTTCACCAGCGTAATAAAAAAACGTAGTAAATTTTTTTTTTATTTACCCTCCCCAAACAACATCTAGTATAAGGAAGTAAAAGTTCAAAATTCTGATTTCTTTTTGTTTCAGTTGCTTTTTGATATTTTTTCCTGTTTTTTTTTCGCATTATTATCATTCCTTGAGATAATAATGAAAATTTAATTTATCCCCCAATATTTTTTCCCCGTAAAATTTTATTGTTTAATTGTTAAGTAGCCGGATATTTTGCATTTTTGCTAAAATATAACTTAAGCTGCAGGACATTTTCAATTTACCAACTTTTCATACACACATATACAAAAGTTTGCAAATATATATATATATATATATGTACAAAAATAGCAATGAAATGGATTTAAATTAGCACAAACAATAAAATTCATCATCCGGATGAGATAAAATTTTTATGAAAAGTTTGAAGTTTTTTTCTTCTATGTAGTCTTCTGAAGAAATAACAGAGAGTATGATGTGCACAGCTAACAACTGACAGCAAAATGAATTTTCTTAGCATAGTTCAGAATTTTACCTCAAGAATAATTTGTTCTATAATGAAAAGTTTAGTAAGTATAAAATTTGGCTCTTATAAAAATTAATTAATTTAAATCATCATTTGAACAAAAACACATTTAAGTCAGACTGCATATTTCATAGACCAATTTTGCTCTAAAATTATTGAATTATACAAAAATTAAGTAACCATAAGTTTACATAAAAACACTTATTTTTGCAGGTCGTATTGCAATGGCAATAAATATAAAAATTTGTATTAATGCAATACCTTCTCTTTCTGCATAATATGGTCAATCAAAAAATAATATGAAAAATATTTAATTTCAAAATTAGGTTAGTAAAACTATTACTTGCGGCTAAAAGCAAGAGGAAATTATCTGTATCTCTGCTTTGTATTCAAATTCATACAAACTAGAACTAAATTTACAGTCACACATACACGTAATAAAAATATACATGTTATGCATGCATAAAATAACAATGTCAACATATTGTCATTTTTAATATTCTAAAAAACTATACAAACAACAGAATATTTAAAGCTAAACTTTTTTAAAGGTCTTTATAACAAAATATCATCTGGAATACTGGTTAGTTACCTTTCTATCTACAGAGACCTTAGCAAAATGGAACTAAATGGAAAAATATAAAATCCGATCTAAATCTGAGTGAATGTACTATATACGTATGGCGTTTATGCATGTGCATTAGTCTTAATTTAATTTATTCTTGTTTTCAGATTTTTTTTTTATTCTTATAGCTTTAGTTTATATTTTGATGTTTTCCAAGCTGTTGCACAATTCATATTTTCTTGAATCTCTACGTGTTTTTGTCTCTTATTTTCTTTATTTTTTTTTTTTGCTTACTGTAACATTAATGTCACTAAAATATTTTTTTTTTTCGCTGGCAGCTGTGAATTCTTACAAACATTGCAAAACAAAAGAAAAAAAAAGTTTTATCAAGGTTCACAAATAACGCGTGCACTAAAATGCATGCACATAAGTACAGTTTTAACGATTGAAAACAGCAGGCTCATTATAAGTAT